GCGGCTATTAATGGGCTCAAAACCAGGCCCCGGGTAAGCATGGTACCTCCGTACGAGCCCCCCAAAATTTTCCCCGCACAAATTCATAACTCGAGGATCTAAGGAGCTAGAAGGCTGAAATCTTGTGGTAGTGTTCCCCACCCATGCTGGTATTAGTGGGCTCAAACCCACCCCCCGGGTAAGCGTGGTACCCGTGTACGAGCCCGCCAAATTTTTTTTCGGGTAAGTTCATAACTCGGGAATCTTAGAAGCTAGAAGGCTGAAATCTTGGGAGAATTTTCCCCACCCAAGTGGGTATTAGTGGATCAAACCCAACCCCCGGGTAAGCGTAGTACCTACATACAGGCTCGCCAAAATTTTTTTCGTGTAAATTGATAACTCAAGTACCTGAGAAACTAAAAGAATGCAATTTTAAGAGGATACACCCCGTCCACCTAAGTTTCATTCAGCCCGAACACAGCTCTCAGGTATGCTTGGTAAACATGCAAGGGCCCGTGAAAATTTTGTTCCAGTAAGTTGCTAACTCAAGTGCCAAGGAAGCTAGAAAGTTTTTTTTAAAGGCAATGTTTTCTGACAGTTCTTGTGGCCAGTCTTAATTTGTTTAGCTAGAAGCATTTGCCGAAAAAACCGGTGCCGGTAGCAAGAAAAACTGCGGCGAACCATGCAAAAAACGCATCTTCGCACGGGCAGTACGTGCGTTGGCCAAGCCTGTGCGTTGGCCAATTATTCTCTTTATCCTTTAATAAAATCAGTACTACCTGCAATAGCGTAAGTATTGCTTGCTGGAATGAAAAGATCGTGACGCTGGTCCTTGTATTGTGCCCAAATGCAAGATTTGTTCAGAATTTCTGCAATTTTAGCGCCATGTTGCAGGTCTAGCGAAACATTCTTCAGTGCATCCACTATTTCTGCTTTTGCTGCCGCAACATTGCTGACACCTGAAAAAGAAACTGTAATATTTTCCCATTCTTACTAACCTAGCTGTGATACTTTTGTGTGTATTAGCATTAAACATTATTAAGATCATCTGAAACGATATAACAGGGAGTATTTTTTTCGGGGGTCCGAACGCGGGGTCTAAGTGTGTGTGTGGGGAAGATTTTAAAACGGGAGGGTGACGCACGGGGTAGGAACATATACCCAAAATTTCATCTTTTTTATGCAGCTGTTTTGAAAGGCAGTAACATATAAATGCGAAACATGATCACTGAGGCCGATACTGGCAAAGTGACTCTCCCGTTTTTCCTTTTTCCTCCACGATGGGGTATCTCTCCGGGCAAACAATATTTTACCCCTTTTCCTATCCCGGGTGTCCGCGGCAAAAACTAGCAGCACACTTCCTACTCTTTTCCATCCATTACCTCCTCCCTCCTCTTTTTTCTAAATGTACAAGTCTAACCAGCTGTCAGGGAATCTACGCCACACGATCATTCAATCCACCACCCAATCCTCTCCCTCTGTTTCGATTCCCGCGCGTGAAATCCACATACACCATCCCCTCACCCCACCACAGCTGCGGCATTTAAAGTCCTTTGCGTCACGGCCGGGTAAGATTACCCGCCACGGCTGGGGAAAATTTTTCGCAAATCGTGTATAGCGAAGGCCGAGCTGAGCCGAGTTTTAGTAACTGCCCAATCTTACACTGTAAAATTCGGAGACGTTGTAAAAAAAAGAAAAACTCACTTTTTAAAAATGGAACTTCGATAAAAGCATAAAAAGAAATATCAGGGCTGCCTAAACACATGGTATGGGGTCCGATACTGGTGATTTTACTGGGATGTTATATAGTGCTAGGTGCAGCTGTGGTCAAGCTTTTTCATTCCCAAGCTGCATACCTTCAGATTTCAATGAATTATGGTAAAAAACCAAAATAACAGTGAACAAAAAAAAAAAATCACAAACCTTCCATTGCACTATCCAGTAGCTGCAACAAATACTGTACCATGCCAGTTGAAAGCATTTGAGCAGCTAGATTACTGCAGTTTCGCTTCAGCAAACATTTCAGCGCATGCGCTGAATCGCCGATTAAACCTGAAACAGACTTTAAGAGCAAAAGCATCTTTACAATATCCAGGTACGATTTACTCTTAGCCATAAGGTGAAGAAAATCCACTGAAAAACTCGAGCGGGGAGACCGAGTTCAAGAAAATTTTCAACTATCGCCGACTTCTTTTCCTCATGAAATCAAGCTCAACCCAATAAAAATATTTAAATTACAACATTTCAAAAATTGACTGAAATTACTCTGTCACAGGCTGAATAAAATTCACTGAAAAACTCACACGGGGAGACCGAGTACAAGAAAATTTTCAATTACCACAGATTTCTTTTGCTGATGAAATCAAGTTCAACCGAATAAAAATATAAAATTATAGTATTTCAAAAATTAACTGAAAACTTTGTATAATTTTAATCGATACTAAAATATCATGGTGCTACACCAATTTTAACTTATCTCTAAAAGCTGATTGTTTGCAGTAAAAAAAAAAAAAGACTTCGGCACCCTCACCTAGCGGACGGGCGACAAATAGCAAGGAAATAAGCCAAAACAAAATGGTCTCTTCACCTATCATGAAGCAATTGCCTAATTAAGTTTATCACAGCCTGACTTTTTAAATTACAATATCTCAAAAATTAATTGGAAACTGCGCAAAAAATAGCTATTTATTAGGAACACTCATCCTGATTTGAAGATTTTAACTAGAAACTACTTTAATAATAACGCATACCAGGCTGCTGCTTCATTGATTTCATAATACCTTCGATGCAATTCAGATTTGCGAGTGAATCTGCGCAATGCTTAAAAAAAGCAAACATTTAAGAAAATCAAAATTGAAAAAAAACCCTCTCTGTCCATTTTTTACGAAAAACAGAGGAATGCTACATGCCAAAAAAAAACATCAAACAGTTGCTGGCAAGGTTGTCAATGTATGAAAGATGCTTACAAGCAAGTTGATGGCGAGTTTGTTTCTCCGACGGCATGCGCCAGTACTACTTTGTAGTTAAAGTGTATGACAATGATCGTAAAACAGAAACCGGCGAAAATTCGCTTAATTCGAAGTGATCAATTGATGCAAAAACAATTAGGAAATAAACGGATACCGTATTTTCAGCGAGATGCGAAAGAATAATGATTGCTGAACGCGAAGCCGAGCCACTGGATGATGACATTGCCGTGCAAAATTGTGGCAAGTATCCTTGTGCTGGTAACTGAAAGATGTTAAATTAACGCGAAAATCCTGCATAAATTTTACAGTTTACATCTTTACTATATTGCAATGTGTATATTCGAAAGTGACCAAAGTTTTAGCAATTTATTAAAAACAAACACTCAATGATAAAATTATCAGTGATTCTTTCCTCTAAAAAATGTATAAAAACTAAACTGAAGGCTGGTTAGCACCCTAGCATGCTAGAAAAATTCGATTCTGTTCCTCTCCACGCTGGTGGGCCAGCAACGCCAAACAAACTGCATATGTTAACACGTAGATGATTTCAGGCCCCGTCCACTTTTAATCTCCTAGCCAGAAGGGATATTCATTGCCTAAATCTCTAAAATTTCTCTAAATATCCATCAAAACAAATCAATGAAGAGTAAGTTGAGGTCATATCTGTGATAGTTCTGAACAAACAGCTTAAACATAACAGCAAACATGCTTTGCTATTACAAAAACCCCCTAATTTTCACGAAAGTGACTGGATTAAATATTCCTTAAGTATATTCGATTAAGTCGATTTGTTTCCATCAAACTTTTCACTCTTCTCAATTTTTTTTGTCCCAATATGCAAATTTTTGAGCAATAAACAATTTAACAAAATTCGGACTCCATTCATAAGACACTACTAACATAATAATAGGATGCCCAGAATGATTGTTCGAGCCGTTTTGGCATCTTCAGATAGCTACCACAGACTAAACTTTTGCTCTATTCATCCTACTCTATAAAAGGCGGAGATATTCGGAAGTAACCCGAGTGGTTGGAAATTGACAAATGCAACCACTCGTTGAAAAGACCATAGATCATGCTGAAGACTGTTTAAACACAAACAGATGATGATTTGACTCTTTTGCATGTGCTACTAATTTATCATTTACCACGCTTAACCGGCGGATGGGTTTCAGTGCATTAACACCTACTTGGACGGAGAACATCCCCCTAAGATTTCAGCGTTCTAGCTTCCCAGATCCCCGAGTTAATCTTTAATTTCCATACCAGTGCACTCAAATCCTTGATGTTTAGTCTTCAAATGCCACAAAGCCAAATCTACTTACCTCGAAAATTTGAATGTATGCAAAAATTAATCTTGTCCTACATATCTTTGCCGATGCATATATGAAAAACTGAACAGCTTACATGATCCGCTACAGATGGATGGTTGGTAATAAGAGCAACAAAAGCTGAGGTAACGGTATCCAGCTCTGTTGTCGGCTGAGTCATGCATTCCAGCACTTTTTCGATAAGTTCCGTTGTGAATTGCTTTGGATGGCGCACTTGCCATGAGGGATTCGCGATGAATAGGCGCAAAAATACTCCAGCAATTACCAATTCATCGGTCATCACTCCGGAATATGCACATTTTTCAATCGTTGCATCCTGAGAAAAAAGGAATGCACAATTAAAATTTTGAAAATAGAATAGTTCAAAATCCTTACGAGAAAAAAATCACAGGAAAAAAGAATCAAAAACAGCTGATTTATTTGTAATTCATACCAAACTGAAAAAAAAAAGATCTGACGTCAATACCAATAGCAAAATTTGTACAGATAATGTATGCGAGGAGGGGGAGGGAGAAGAAGAATCGCTCAAACCACCTTCCT